CTCCTTGGAAGGAAGGTTGGGCAATCCTACTTCCGTAGTGATACTGCCTCGGAAACCCAAGGAGGGGTCGCTATGAGTCGGGGCCGACTCGACGGCATACAACAACAACAACAACAACATAGAAAATGAAGTGGCCATTTTCTCCCCTCATCTTGCTAAGAAGGGAATTGAAAGCATGAGAGCCTTTCTCTGACTATTCCTGCTCCTAAACATGCTTGTAGAGAAGGGATCTACCCCATAATGGAAATTCTGATGGTGTATAGGTAATCACACATAACTGAGGACACCAAAATATTTTCAATTAAAAATATTTAAGAGACTTGAATATTTAAAATAATACTGGCACTCAAATACACCACTAACAATCTACCAAGTTGTTTTTGTTTTTGTTTTTGACATTAACAAACAGAAATTTAATTTAATTTGGAGTTTAGAAGTCCAAATTCAAGATGCTGGCTCTAGGGAAGGCTTTCTCTCTCTGTCTGCTCTGGAGGAGGTACCTTGTCTTTTTTTAACTTTAGCTCTTGGGCAGTCTTCATGTGGCTTGGCATCTCTCTTCCCTCCATCTCTGTTCTGCTGACTTGTTTAATCTCTTTTATATCTCAAAAGAGATTGACTCAAGACACATCCTACACTAATCCTGCCTCATTAACATGACAAAGACAACTCATTCCCAAATGGGATTATTTATAACTATATAGGAATAGATGTTCAGATTTATAACACCTATTTTTTTTAAGTAGGTAAATACATTCACAGGATTCCAAAAAAGTTACTGATAGGTGTATAATGAAGTACTTCTCCCATCTTTGTCCCCCAATCTACCAGTTTTTATACTAATAGAATAACAAGAGGAAAGGCAAGAATTGCCAAATTCTCTGTTGTTTAAGTTAAATTAATCTCTATTTCTCCAACTTTTATATTTTCCTTAAAGTTTTAAAACCTTATATTAGATATGCTTATTGCTATTTTAAGGAGCTCTGGTGGCACAGTGCCTAAGGCATTTGATGTTGTTGTTGTTGTTGTTGTTATTTGCCATCGAGTCGATAGCTAACCAAAAGGTTGGTGGTTCAAACCCACCAGCCACTCCACAGAAGGAAGATGGGGCAATCTATCCCTAAAGATTTACCACCTCAGAAACCCAGTAGGGTCCCTATGAGTTGGAATCGACTCAATGGCAGTGAGTTTTGAGTATTAGTATTTTATTCTGGAATTGGGGGGGGGGGGACAAACTTTAGGCCAGGTAGGTTGTTTTAGGGAGTTGCATATAATCCTCTTTGAACTTCACCTTTAACTTCCAAATTGATGTCTGATAGTTAACTGTTAGAGACTATTTTATTATGGAGGTTAATGGTTTTCAGTCATGTCGAATTTGGGCTAAAATCTATGGTGGTGTATAATATGATTGAGGGAAATGACATTTTGGGCAACCTCTATGATAGGCGTTTGACCTGTTATCTTTTCTATGCAGTGACCCTGTAGTTTCTTTTCCATCTGAGACCCAACACTTAACTTTGGTTTCACATACTTCTATTTGTTTATTCTATTTAGTTAAGTACATTAGCAACAGATGTGCAACAATGTAACTTTTCTTATAATCATCATTAATACGTAAAACTTTTCTTTTACAAACAGGATAAAAGAATCAGAGTATCTCAACCCTTGACACGAGGACCAAGTGCCTTTATTCCAGAGAAGGAAGTAAGTTTACCTGCCTTAAGATACATAAAGCGTGATAAAGAATAACTTAATTACATCAAAGACTACCTCTGTTTTTAATACAGAAATGAAAAGGTATTTTGCTCTTGAGATTCTTATTCATTTGTTAGAAAACCACAGAGATAGTTTCTTTTCAGCTTTACTTAAAAGTTTGAGTATATAATAATCTGTCTTATTAGTTTAGTTGGGTAATACTATAAAGTTAGAAAAATAAAAATTTAACCATCTTTGATTTCAAATATAACTTTTCTGAAAACAAAGCTGCTGAGAGTGGTAAAATTTAATATTAACCTGAAGGTTTTGAGTTTTTAAATGGCCACTGTTTTCATAATTGATTACAGGTTTCATAAAGGTTAAGAAAAGGTATTTTGAAATAATGAAAAAAATAAACCTAAGTTTCTCAACTAAACCTATTAAATAAAACCTGACATTACATCACTAGTAGTTACTGTTTTTACTTGGTTCTAAGTTTTTGATTAGACGGGACATCACAGAATCTCTGGTTCAATTTAGCACCCTTTTGTAGGGGTGGGGAATCCAGGTGGTAAATGCAAGGAAGGGGGTAGTAAAAAGACACAAAGCACTTCTGTACTTATGCCTATTTTTCTCATATAACTAGGTGCTGCTTTTAGTGATTGCCTAATACATGTATACTTACTGAAATACTGTTATTTTCACAGTATACATTTGAAGATAATCTGGTTTGTGGAAGTGATCACTGTTTTCAGGATCTGTTGCATCATAAGACTATGTTATAGACATTCAGTTAGATGAAAGAAAGCTTTGCTAAGGAAAACAAGACAAAAACGTCAACTATTCTCTCACTAACTATATGTGATTCATCTGGATCCTATTATATTTGATCATCTCGGTCTCTGTAGTAGATAATGAGGGGTTATGAGTAAATGAAATGTATATTTGGCTTTATAATGAACTGAAGTAAAATATAGAAACAGGCATCCATGTCCGTTAATTCCCACAGAGTTGGATCTTTCTACAAAGTGCTAATAAGCTCTTAACACCTTCAGAGGTGATTTTTGCACAATGACAGCCTACAGACTGTCATTGTGCATAATGCTGTACTTAAGTAATCTGATTTTGAGAAAACTCCTTTGATTTCCTAGGATGGAAGTTGTCCATTTTAATAATTTACTTTGTTTCTGGTAATTAATATGATAGGCTCAAAATAGGAACGGTAATAGTCTAGCATCTTTATTAATTTTTCAATTAACACTTTCCTACAAATTATCTTATTTTTTTCATTCCTAGAAACACTTGAGAAAGGTTCTTGTTTTTTTTCCCCCCTTAATATTGAATGACAAAAATAGGCAAAGGATCATGCTGAAAATATTTGCCTAAAGATAATAAGATTAATTATCTTTACAGATTGTTGAAATAAAATTGCATGTAGTGAAAGGCCATTGCTGTTGCCTCACCACAAATTAGTCTGACAATGGCCAGGCAAGTGGGCCCTGAAAGTCTGCCTGTGTGCCTGGCTGAACAGATGGAAGCTTCTTTTCTCCGATTTCTTAGCTGTATAGAGTGTTTGATATTTGACATTTGTTGTTTAATAAATTGTGGTGTCAGAGCCAAAAATGAATGATGTTTTCTTTTTTATTGCTGTTCCTAGTACGAGCAACTGTGTAATTTCAGTGTCTGTTAATATCAAAAGAACATTCATTTGCTTCAATAGTGGCATAATTTATGTAAACCAAGGATGTGTTTACTACTCAATAATTTTGTTTTGTTTCTTGGCTATAAGGTTGTCCAAGCAAACACAGCAGATGAACGTACTAATTTTCTTGTGGAAGAATACTCTACATCTGGTCGTCTGGACAACATCACACAGGTCATGAGTTTACACACTCAGTACCTGGAGTCTTTCTTGAGGAGCCAGTTTTACATGTTGCGCATGGACGGTCCCCTTCCTCTACCATACAGGCACTATATCGCGATCATGGTGGGTGCTTGTCTGCTTGTTTTTTCCACTTTCCATATGACAGCTTTCTCCCTTCTAAAATTGTAGGTGTGTGTATATATAGCTAAGTATATCTTTATGGAAGAATGAATTGAAGAAGCCTGTGGACTTTTGGATACCATGTCCCTTGGGTAAATGTTGCATGTTTTGAACCACTTAACTTATTGAATGTTTCTCATTTAATTTTTAATAAACCCATTTTCTGTATTTCATCTCTTATAATTAAAGATGCTTGTATAGTCCAAAATAATATCCCACAAGTGTTGATTTTGCTCTTGATTTCTTTCTTTTTTAAAATTATTAATTAAAAACAGATTATTTGTGACATTTTACTTAGTCATACTGTACACGAAGACTATCACTAATTTGGCCAAATAATAAGAAAGTATCAGTCAGCACTAATGGACAATCTGGATAAAGGAAGAATTCTTAAATGACTCATAACACTTTTAATTATAGTACTTGTTACAAACCAGTTAACTAGTTAATATCTTTGGGGGGAGGGAGATAATTATAAATTAGGCTGGTATAAAGTAAGATGGAGCAGGGTAGAAAGAAACAGTATTATTTTTGGACTATTACTGGAGAAAAAATGGAATGAGAACATGATTAAAGTACTATGTATTTGGAGAAGTTAGGGAAATAGCTGGACCAACAGAGCTGGAAGAGCTAGCCAGGAGTTAGTAGGTTAGTCTCTCAGTGTTTTACAGAATGATGTACTTGATAAGACTGTAATTCTGGTTTTGATGAGAATAAGGCTGGACGACAACTTAAAATGACCACAAACTAAAAGAGAAACAAGATGTAGAGAATAAGGAGACTAAAATAAAATTTTACTGAGAGGCAGCCCTGAGGAAAGGAGAGGTCAAAATTGTAAGTATCAAGGCTGATTCTGACTGCATAGGAAGGAAAGGGTCAGTGAGGTTCGGTTGCATCTTAATAGTGTAATATATACACATATGGCTGGAATCACAGTTATTTTAAAGGGGATAAGAAAAGTACCCAAAATAGTATGAATTCTGTATTGGTAGAACACCAGTTAATGAGACTTGATTATGTTTTAAACAAACTACAGTACATATCATTTACTATAATGAAAAAATGCCCTTAACATAGTTAGATGGTGGGCTCTGGGATGACCTACACCAACTTCTGGTGAGAGAGTAATTGGCTTCATGTGATCACTACTTGCTTATACACATCAGCTTCATGTATTCTTTTAAGAATCTGTTGCAACATTGCAATAAAATTTTTAGAAGAGAGATTCTGAAAGAAAAAAAATGATTGGCTATAAAAAGTATTAACTCAATCTAAATTGTTTCAGAACAATAGAGTAAGATTATACTATAGTTGTTTTACCAACAGACTCTTTCCCTTGTGTTTTAGGCTGCAGCTAGACATCAGTGTTCTTACTTAATAAACATGCATGTGGATGAATTTTTAAAGACCGGAGGCATGGCTGAGTGGTTGAATGGTTTGGAATATGTACCACAAAGACTGAAAAACCTTAATGAAATAAATAAGCTGCTAGCACACCGGCCCTGGCTGATCACAAAAGAGCACATTCAGGTACTGAGTGTTTTTTGAAATCAAGGGAACTTTGCTAATGATTCTACCAGAGAGTTAATTATTTAGTTAATTGTTTTGCTTAAGACTTAATTTTAAACCTTTGCACATTAAGAACTTGAAAGAGAACAAAGTAGTATGTTAATATGTGTAGAACAGATAAATTTACAAAGTCAGTGGGTTTAAGTTTAAAATGTATCACTCATTTTAAGTAATCAGTAAATTAGCTTGTACAAGTACTTGATAAGTAGCTATAAGAAAAGTTTGTTTCTATTCTTCAAGCAGTTGTTGTTGTTGTTGTTGTTATGTGCCGTGGAGTCGGCCCCGACTCATAGCGACCCCTCCTTGGGTTTCCGAGGCAGTATCATTACAGAAGTAGGATTGCCCAACCTTCCTTCCAAGGAGTGGCTGGTGGGTTTGAACCGCCAGCCGTCTGGTTAGCAGGCAAGTGTCTTAGCAGTAGATAGACTAAAAGAAAATACATTAGCATAATGGGATGCCTGGGTTCTAGTCTGTACTCTGTTACTCACTTTAGTAAGTGAACTTCTATGGACCTCCATTCCCTCCTCTGTAAAATAATAGGGCTGGATTAACTGAGCTCGGCAGTGAGTTTGGTTTGGTTTGGTTTTACACTCTTTTATCCACCACTTGTCTGTCAGTTTGTCATACTGTGGTGGCTTATGTGCTGCTGTGAGGCTGGAGCCTATCCCCCCTGTATTTCAAATACTAGCAGGTCACCCAAGGTGGACAAGTTTCAGCGGGGCTTCTAGACTAAGGCAGACTCAGAAGAAGGAAGGGGTTACCCACTTCTCAAAGAATTGACCAGTGAAAACTTTATAAACAGCAGTGAAACACTGTCTGATATATTACTGGAAAACTTGATGAATAGCCCTGAAACATTGTCCGATAGACTACCAGAAGATGAGCCCCACAGGTTGGAAGGCACTCAACATAGGACTGGGGAAGAGCTGCGTCCTCAGAGTAGAGCCACCTTAATGATGTAGATGGAGTAGTTTTTAGGACCTCCATTTGCTGATGTGGCATGTCTCAAAATGAGAAGAAATAGCTGCAAACATCCATTAATAATCAGAACATGGAATGTATGAAGTATGAATTTAGGAAAATGGAAGTTATCAAAAATGAATTGGAATGCATAAAGATCAATATCCCTAGGCATTAGTGAATTGAAGTGAACTGGTTTTGGCCATTTTGAATCAGACAACCATATGATCTATTATGCCAGGAATGACAAATTGAACAGGAATGGCGTGGCATTAATCGTCACAAAGAACATTTCAAGATCTATCCTGAAGTACAGTGCTCTCAATGATAGGATAATATCCATATGCCTACAAGGAAGACCAGTTAATACTAATATTATTCAAATTTATGCACCAACCACCAAAGCCAAACTTGAGGAAATTTAAGATTTTTACCAACTTCTGCAAACATGCAATCAAGATGTGTTGATTATCACTAATGATTGGAGTGCAAAAGTTGGAAGTAAAGAAGAATCACCAATAGTTGGAAAATATGGCCTTGGTGACAGAAATAATGCTGAAGATCACATGATAGAATTTTGTGAGACCAATGACTTACTCATTGCAAATACATTTTTTCAACAACACAAATGACAGGAGTCAGATTGACTACATCTATGGAAAGAGGTGATGGAGAAGCCAAAACAAAGCCAGAAGCTGACTGTGGAACAGACCATCAGCTGCTCACTTGCAAGTTCAAGTTGAACTAAAGAAAATTAAAACAAGTTCACGAGAACCAAAATATGACCTTGATTATATCCCTCTTGAATGTAGAGACCATCTAAAGAATAGATTTGATGCATTGAACACCATTGACCGAAACCAGAGAAATTGTGGGATGACATCAAGAACATCATCCATGAAGAAAGCAAAAGGTCATTAAAAAGAAAAGGAAGAAAAGACCAAAATGGATGTCAGAGTGACTCTGAAACTTGCCCTTGAACGGAAAATAGCTAAAGCAAATAGAAGAAATGACAAGATAAAAGAGCTGAACAGAATATTTCAAAGAGCAGCTTGAGAAGACAAAGTCAATCATTACAATGAAATGTGCAAATACCTGGAGTTAGAAAACCAAAAGGGAAGAACACACTCAGCATTTCTCAAGCTGAAAGAACTGAGGAAAAAATTCAAGGCTCAAGTTGCAATATTGAAAGATGCTATGATAAACTATTGAATGATGCAGGAAACATCACAAGAAGATGGAAGGAATACAGAGAGTCACTGTACGAAAAAGAATTGGTTTATGTTCATCCATTTCAGGAGGTGGCATATGATCAAGAACTAGTGGTACTGAAAGCTGCACTGAAAGAATTGGTGAAAAACAAGGCCCCAGGAATTGACAGAATACCCCTTAAAATGTTTCAGCAAATGGATGCCTCACTGGAGGCACTTGCTTGTCTATGCCAAGAAATTTGGAAGACAGCTACCTGGCCAACTGACTGGAAAAGATCCATATTTGTACCCATTTCAAAGAAAAGTGATCCCACAGAATGTGAAATTATCAAACAGTATCATTAATATCACACGCAAGTAAAATCTTGCTGAAGATAATTAAAAAACGGTTGCAGCATATTGACAGAGAGCTTCCAGAAATGCAAGCTGGATTCAGAAGAGGACATGGAACAAGGGATATCATTGCTGATGTCAGGTGGATCTTGACTCAAAGCAAAGAATACCAGAAAGATGTTTACTTGTATTTTATTGATTATGCAAAAGCATTCGACTGTATGGATCATAACGAATTATGGATAACATTGAGAAGAATGAGGATTCCAGAACACTTCATTGTGCTCATCAGGACCCTGAACGTAGACCATCAGGTTCGAACAAGGGGATGCTGCATGGTTTAAAATCAGGAGGGGAGCGCATCAGGGTTGTATCCTTTCCCATACCTATTCAGTCTATAGGCTGAGCAAATAATCCGAGAAGCTGCACTATATGAAGAAAAGTGTAGCATCAGGACTGGAGGAAGACTCATTAATAACCTGTGATACACAATAACTTTCCTTGCTGAAAGTGAAGATGACTTGAAGCGCTTACTGATGAAGATTAAAGACTTCAGTCTGCAGTATGGATTACATTTCAACATAAAGAAAACAGAAATCCTCACAACTGGACCAATAAGCAGCATCACAATAAACGGAGAAAAGATGGAAGTTGTTAAAGATTTCATATTACCTGGTTCCACAATCAACACCAATGGAAGCAGCATCAAGACATCAGAGACATCGTATTGCACTGGGCAAATCTGGTGTGAAAGACCTCTTTAAAGTACTGAAGAGCACAGATGTTTCCTTGAGGACTAAGGTGCACCTGACACAGGCCATGGTATTTTCAGTCGCCTCATATGCATGTGAGAGCTGGACAGTGAACAAAGACTGAAGAAGAGTTGAAGGCTGTGAGTTGTGGACTTGGCGAAGAATACTGAAAGTACCATGGACTGCCAAAAGAATGAACAAATCTGTCCTGGAAGAAATACAACTGGAATGCTCCTAGGAAGAGAGATGGCCAGGCTTCGTCTCACATACTTTGGTCATGTTGTCAGAAGGACCCATTCTCTGGAGAAAGATACATGCTTGGTAAAGTGCAGGGTCAATGAAAAAGGGGAAGGCCCTCAACAAGATGGACTGACACAGTGGCTGCAGTGACAGGCTCAGGTATAGCAAGGATTGTGAGGCTGGCACAGGACTGGGCGGTGTTTCATTCTGTTGTACATAGGATCACTATGAGTCAGAACTGACTCCATGGCACCTAAAAACAACAGCAAACTCTTCTAGTTCTAACATTTCATAATTTTAAGACTCTCAAAGAATGATTTTGCAAATAAAAAGGGATCTGCCAGCTGTTGTGAGTCATTAAGTACCTTTAGAAAGATCTTAGATAAGAAATAAACTTGTTATATTTGGCTAGAGCACATGTACTTTGAAAGGAACTTCCATCAAAGGCCTGCAGAGTGAGGTAATTATGCAGTGTGTTTAGCATGGTGCTGGACACATGGTAAGTATTCAGTAAATACGATCTAATTTAAGAGCTTGGGTGATGCAAATGTTGTAATCTACTAACCAAAAGATTGGTGATTTGAACTCACCTAGTGCCTCTGCAGAAGCAAGCCCTGAGGATCTGCTTCTGTAAAGGACTACAGCCAAGAAAACCCTACGGAGAAGTTCTGCTCTGTAACACACAGGGTCACAACAATATGATGTAAATTATTATCAGTAGATACCTTTCTTATTTAAAATCTGTTTCTAATGCACAGAAATGTCCTTGTTTTCTTTTTTAATCCCTGTTTTGGTTAACTAGTGCCGCTCTGACAGGAATATACCACAAATGGGATAGGTTTAACAAACAGGAGTTTATTCTCTTACAATTTTGGAGGTTAGAAGTCCGAATTCCAGGTGCCGGATTCTAGGGGCTGGGTGAGATCCCCTCATCCTTGGGCTTCAACTCTGCCTCTTGCTACCAGCCCACTGAAGCTAGAGGCATCGCTTCATTCAGGCAGCTGTCAGCTGCTGAGGCTGACAAACCCAGGGTCGACAAGTGAAAAGGCACAGTCCGATACTACCAAACCACACAGCAAGCCATTAATTCAAGTCCATTAAAAATCCCAAGATCAGCAGAGCAACATGGTAGGCTACTGGACCGTGACTGGGCTACATGCAGGGTTCAAGCGTGCCATCAAACTGGAGACCTTCCTCAAAGCTGCTTCTTATATACTGGAAGCAGACCACATCTGTAAAGCAGCTACTCAGCTGCTCTAATAGAGTCCACCATGGTATTGATTGCCAATCTCACCATGCAGAATAACTATATCCAGCTGCCCAACCACTCAACCAGGTGCAGCCAAGTTGACAAACAAACTGAACCACCACAGGAACCATTTTCATACTTCAGTAATACCAAACTGTTAGCCACTCTTCCAGGATATCACAGTGTTGCATACTCTATTCATTGTCTGGAATGTCCTCCTCTACTTGAAAATTCCCATATTCTTCAAGACATAAAACAAATGTTACCTCTTCCATGAAAGTGTCTCTTACTCCCATTGACAACTTTATGATTCCATTCTCTTTATTCATATAACAGTCACAACAGTATTATGCATAAGGCAACCATTCAAAATGTTAGAAAAGATACATGTGTACGTGTGTGCGTTCCTTTAATATCATCCTTTTACATTTCTGTATTTGGAGGAGCTCTGGTGGCATAGTGCCTAAGGCATTTGACTGTTAACCAGAAGGCTGGCAGTTCAAACCCACCAGCCACTCCTTGGAAGAAAGACTGGACAATCTACTTCCATAGTGATACTACCTCAGGAACCCCAGGAGGGGGTTGAGTTGGATCCAACTCAGTGGCAGTGAGTTTGGTTTTTAGTTTTTCAGAGCATAAGACAACTGTTTAAAATACTAGAAAACTTGTGTACATGTGTGTATTATTTTAATATCATCCTTTTAAATTTCTGGGTTTGAATACCTGTATATAACTATTCTTTATAAAATACTGTATATTAATTTATAATTGCCCCCCCAGCTCCTCTCCCCCAGTTGTTTCTGCTGGAAATATATATGATCAAAAGAGTTTGGAGAACATATTCCTGTTTAAAAAAAAGAAAAAGAAAAAAAAAAAAAAAAACAGGAATATTCCCTAGACCAATGATAGATTTAGTTGAAGGTAATCTTTCACAGATACTAGTGGTACAAAATAACCACAATCATTATAAAAGCAACAGAAGACAGAGTTGGAGTAATCCCTCAGAGATAGCCAGACACCTTGGGAGAGAGAACCACTGGGCCTGCCAAGTCAGGACCATAGTATTGGGGGACACCAGCCTCAATTGCCACAATGTAATACATAAAAATCTTGTTCCACAACCTACTTTGGTGAGTAGTGACTGGGGTCTTAAAAGCTTTTGAGTGGCTAAGATGCAGCTAATGGTCTCCTCTCATCTGAAGGAAAGAAGAGTGAAGAAAACCAAGGCTATTTGGAAACAGCCCAAGGATATGATAGACCTTGAGACCAGAAAAACTAGATGGTGCCTGGCTACCAATGCCAACCACTTGGGAAGGGATCAAAACTAGAGGTCCTGGATAGAGTGGGAGGAAAAACGTGGAACAAAATTCAAAAACACATTAACAACCAGAATTACTGGTCCAATAGAGTCTGGTGACACCCGCAAGACTATGGCCCTGGGATACACTTCAGGCCTGGGATTGGACTCACTCCCAAGGACTGGCTCTCAGCCCCAGTAGAAAGACTTATATGAAGAACACCCAACCCAGGGCGATGCACCCACCTACTCTATGGAGATACATGTCTTGGAGCAGTTGGCCGCAGAGGGGCAGCATTCACGTGGAGGGAGAGCTGGGCAGACAGGAGTGCATAACTAAGAAGGGCATGGGGAAGAGGGGTCACAGGGAAGAGAGCGGAGAAGAGTGGGTTAGGGTTGGGGATGGAAAAAAAGAAGAGTTTGGAGATCACTAAGATACAGAATCAAGAATCATTAAAGGCTCTTGAGCAGAGTTGTGATATGAGCTTATTTTGTGATGTGGAAGGTAAATTATAAGTGGAATGGACTAGAAGCAGAGAAGCTAGTCATTAAACAATCGCATTAATCTGTCTGAGAGATGATTTTAAAAAAAAAGAACAATGGGGGAATAAAGGAAGAATCAGATGCTCAGGATCATTCTACATGAGAATAAGCAGGACTCAGTGACTGGCAAAATTTGAGGATGGAAAAAGGGGTGGACTGGATGAGAGAATGACTTAAAGGTTTCTACATTGGTGACTGGGCAAAAGGCAATGCCATGGCCAACATGGGACATAATCGGATCTGAGAACAGAAAATTATGACTCTTATGTTGTGATTTTCAGTTATTGAAAGTCCAAATACAGGTCTGTAGCTCAAGATAAAGAGTGGACTAGAAATTAAATTGAATAGGTATTGATAGATGAACAGAGGTCAAGTTAAAGGAATAAATGACCTATCCTTGGAGATACTGTACAAGGAAAGAAGATCATAAATAGAATAGGGCAAGCCAACATTTTGATGGCAAGCAGAAGAGGAGGCTATGAAGGAGATGAAGGTCCATCCCAGGATAGAAAGGGTATCCCCCCAAATAATGTGGACTTACTGAGGTCAGAGGAGATCATTTCAAGAAGGAAAGAAGTGAGGGATAGTGTAAATTCTACAGAGATCACCTAGGATAAAGACTGAAAACTGATTGGGCCATTTGGAGGTCATTTGTGACCATAGTCAATATAGCTTCAGGAGTTTGGCTTAAAAAAAAAAAAAAAAAAAGCAAATTGTAATAAATAAAGACATGGGAATAAATGTGGGGTAAGAAATTAGAGGTGATGAGTGTTGATTCTTCTTTGGGGTTTAATGACATTGGCAAAGACATTTTAAGTTTTACCAATGCTTTTGGAAAACTCTACAGCAATTTTATCAACAGTCATAAAATTGCATATAAGAAGATAACTGAAAATTTTAAGTTCTTATTTAAATAAGAAGTTGTATTCTACAGTTTCTATCATCTGCTGCAGTGTCTTTCTCCAACAGAGAGAATATTTAAAATTTACCCAAAATCTGACTTACTAAATAGAATTGTTATGGGACAAAGTTTCCCAAAAACCTTAGACATGAAATGAATGGTTTTGCTAGATAATCTTTAAGATGCCTTCTAGCCTTGATGTTCTGTCATTCTCGAGTAATTCATTAACATAGCATAATGCTTAAAGATGTTTTGGAAGCAAAAAGTCTGTTGAATATGTAAGAGATTTAATAAAAGACGCCAAACATAATTATTGTTAGGTTCGATAATTTGTGCGCAGCATTGTTTGACCAAATGAAACATTTTTAAAAAGGAGTTATAATTTTACTACCATAATTGGGTATATGAAATCTGGTAGCTTTTCCATACTTTTTAAAATTCCTTTATAGTGATTTTCACATCTACAATTTTCACATTTACTCTTACCTGCTTTCTCATTTCAGAAACTTGTCAAAACTGGAGAAAATAATTGGTCTCTGCCAGAGCTGGTACATGCTGTGGTCCTACTGACACATTATCATGCCTTGGCAAGCTTTGTTTTTGGTAGTGGCATCAATCCAGAGAGAGATCCAGAAATCTCCAATGGAGTCAGGCTAATATCAGTCAACAATTTCTGTGTTTGTGATCTCGCCAATGACAACAACATAGAGAATGCATCCCTTACAAGCAGCAACTTTGGGGTTTGTCTTCTTGACTTTTTTTTTAACTATATTTTCTTTCCTATTTTTGTTTTCTAGAAGGAATTTATTCTCTAATTAAAAGGGATATTATGTACACAAACTATTTTTCCATAAATTTTTTATTGTGCTGAATATATGTATCTCAAAACATTTGCCATTTCAACATTTGTTTATATGTTCAAACAAGTGTGCATAATTTTTATTACTGTAAAAATTTAACCAGTACTTAGAGTTCTGGTTTACATAAAAAGACTTTTAAAGCAAATAGATATTATTGCAAATTATATAGACCCAAACAATGATACATTCTAGTGATGTCATCTTCATGATACATCTTTTGAACAGCAAATTCCAGAACAATACATTCATTTTAACAAGATGTGGGAACAACTAATAGGAAATATACCTTATGACAGTAGAAAGTGAAAAATTTGAGGCTGCCTAATTTTCTTAAAAACTGTAATATAGTTTAATATATACCAAATGTTATAATTCTAGATTACAAATATCTATACTTATAAGTATCTGCTGCAAAAGACCTCTTTAAAGTGTTAAAAAGCAAAGATATCACTTTGAGGACTGAGGTGCACCTAACCAAAGCCATGGTAATTTCAGTCACCTCATAAGCATGTGAATGCTGGACAATGAATAAGAAAGACCAAAGAGGAATCAATGCCTTTGAGTTACGGTGTTGGCAAAGAATATTGAATATACCACAGACTGCCAGAAGAATGAACAAATCTGTCTTGGAAGAAGTACAGCCAATATGCTCCTTAGAAGTGAGGATGGTGAGACTTTGTCTCATGTACTTTGGATGTGTTATCAGGAAGGACCAGTCCCTGAAGAAGGATATGATGCTTGATAAAGTAGAGGGTCAGCAAAAAAGAGGAAGACCCTTGAGATGGATTGACACAGTGGCTGCAGTGGGCTCACATGTAGTAACAATTGTGAGCATAGCATAGGACCGGGCATTGTTTCATTCTGTTATATACAGGGTCACTTTGAATTGGAAATGATCCAGCAGCACCAAACAACGATAACACACTTAAAAGTTACTTTTTAAATTTCAGTATTTATAACTGTAGCAAAAATATTCCAAAAATGTTTGAATCTGCCATAAGGTTTTCTTTGAAATTGGTAGAAAACCCATCTAAGAACATTAAGTGTCCCCAGTCTGCTGTACAGAATAAAATTGGGCAATGGAGACATTTACTAGAACACTTTTTCATGATAATAATGCATAACATTATCTTATCTGCTTACAGATTGTAGATTCACTAAGTGAGTTAGAGGCCTTAATGGAAAGGATGAAAAGGCTTCAAGAAGAAAGGGAAGATGAAGAAGCATCTCAGGAAGAAATGACCACTCGTTTTGAGAAGGAGAAGAAAGAAAGTCTGTTTGTGGTTTCTGGAGATACTTTTCATTCATTTCCTCATTCAGGTGATTGTTTTTGCTGTGTTTGCATTCTAATTGTCCTTAGAGCCTTGACAGAACAAGCGTCGGTATTTTCCATGTGGCTGTATAAAAATGATTCTGCTTCTGTCCTCCTATTGTTTACTTCTCTTCTTCCTCATTCTGCTGCTATTACTTTCCCTCTTAGGCTGGTGCATCTTTGAATGGAATGTGTTTCAGATCCAGTTGAGAGGCGTTTCCAGCTTTGTGATTCTCATAGTCCATACTCTATCCTTGAAAAAAATGTTATTCAAAGCAGACCAATTGCTTATAAAGTTAGGAATATTTAATTCATCCTACTTTTGTAACATTTCAATGATAAAAGAAATCCTTTTTTAATAGCTAAGATAAATCCTAAGCTCCAGGCAATTTCTCAATAATTCAATACATGCTTTAAACAGGATAGTTAGAATGTACAAATCAGTCAATACAGCATCCCCATTTATTTGCATGTGTGATTGTTTGTTATGTGTATATGTGTGTTTATAAAATATCTTTTCATTTCTTTGGAGTTCAGAGAGGCAAGGGGATTATTCTCATATTGCTACTTTTCCACAGTAGTTCTAAAATTACACTGCACTTACATTTATGTTTTTTAGAGAAATTTTTCTTTGAAATTTTTATAAAATAAATTATTTTAGGCCATTTTTTCTAAATTGAATTTGGAGGAATTCATTGTGTATTAAAAGCTAGGATTTTTTTTTTTTTGCTCTAATCTTAAAAACACTTTTTTGAAATACTCTTAAAGATTTTTAAATAAGGAGATAACTTTCAGGTTTAACCAAAAAAATGTATAGAACACCATATAATAGTCATGTGCTAAAATTGCTTTAATAGGAAGCTTAAACCCTTCAAAGTCATCAATCCACATAAGATTTCTTTTCAAATAGTATTCTGTTGGTTTAAAAGAGGGCTTCAAAATTGCTGTTTTAAGGTTGGTCAGTTATGTAAATTCTGAGCGTAATTGTATTGACTATAACTTGTTGGTCATGTTAAATATAGCATTGATAATAGCTCTCAGAAGTTTTAAGAAAGAACAAGAACCTCTTTCATCATTTTCCCTGTGTATCTTATTTATGAAAGATTTTAATTACCAAGTTGGGTATATTAAGTAACAGTTTTTCTTTTTCAATCCATTAAAAGCACTATAACTATAAGTCAGAGCTTCTAATCAGCAGGAAATCCCAAATAAAAGGGATGTGGTATTTTAGTTACTGGTTCAGTATTCATTCCACAAACATTTATTGAGTATCCAATATAGTCTCAGCACTGTGGTAGGTATGTAGGTTTTAAGTCTACATAATACATGATTCCTGATCTCAGGGAACTCTCAGGCTAGTGGTAGAAAAATAAATAATTATAACACACAGCAGAATGGTAAAGGTTTGTGAGTATAGAACAGAGCACTGAACCTGGTCTTGGTAGGAGAGAACCATGGACAGAAGGGAGCCTAGAGGAAGACTTTCAGAGCTGGGTTGCTCTAAGCTAAGTCTTAAAGACAGGGTGAGAGGAAGCTAGCCCATAGCTGGGGGTCAGAGGTGGTGGTAATCAGCCTCCCAACCTGAGCAAAGGCATAATGGTAAGGAAACAGGTTTATGTGTGCAGGACAGGTGGTTCTGTGTTGTTATAAAGTAAATCATGAGGTAAATGTTGTTATTGGTGGGTGCTGTTGAGTCAGTTCTGACACTTTGTGACCCTGTGTTCATCAGAAAGAAACACTGTTCCTGGTCTTGCACCATCCTCACAACCGTTGCCAACTGTGGCCACTGTGTCAACCCATCTCATTGAGTAGCTTCCCCTTTTTCACTGACCTTCTACTTTACCAAGCATGACAGCCTTCTGTAGGGATTGGTCTCTTCTGACACGACCAAATTACAAGAGACAAAGTCTAGCCATTCTTGCTTCTAAGGAACATTCTGGCTTGTATTTCATCCAAGACAGATTTGTTCATTATTCTGGTAGTCCATAGTATATTCAGATTCTTTGCCAACACCAGAACTCAAATGCACCATTTCTTCTGCAGTCTTCTTTATGCATTGTCCAGCTCTCAATGCATATGAACCTACTAAAAATACCATGGCTTGGGTCAGGCACATCTTAGTTTTCAAAGTGACATCTTTGCTCTTTTTTTTTTTTTTTT